CCGGTGGATTTATCGACAGCCATCAAGCGTTGCACGTTGCAAGATGCCCGGTCTAAAGTCGACTACGTTTTCGGTGTAGCGACATGCAACTGAGAATCCATAAAGTGGTGGGATACAATAACGAAATCATCATAGCGACCAGCGATCAGAAACTAGGTGTCAACCCCGATATCAACGTGATTCACGTCACACCACCCACCAGTACTGATGAAACGGGGATAGTGACACCACCATCACCGGAGCCAAGCATTCAACCCAAACCTATGCGGTGGTCAAAAGTCAGCGATACATCGATCGTAAAACAGCGCTCATGGTCGGTGGAATTACTGTCGGGTTGTGTCTTTTCGGGAAAAAAAATTCTTTAGCGGTGACATACAGCAGGCCGTCCATGGTGACGATGGACGCCCACAAGTTTTGACTCAACCACGTGACCGTTTTCGATAAGAATCCTAACAACCAGGAGACGATACTGCCTAGGATACCCGGAAGGACTTCCGCGGCTTTCCCCGCCAGTTTGCCCCAGGTATTTTAAGTGTTGTTTGATGCATTCTTTAACACCTTTCTTGCCACTAGGCGGTGTGGGGCTATGTGTGGGACTCGGAGTCGTACCACCGGTCAGAGAGACGACTAAAGTCGATATGATGATATGATGAAATTCATGAGATCGAGGTCCAGAGCATCTTTTAGTCGCAGTATCCCTCTATCATCAAAGATTGAGGGAACCCCTGGGGTTCAAAGCCATTCGTCAATTCGTCGATCGATGGAAACCAAATGCTGTTTGTGCGATTTCCTAATCTGGGCGTGAATGACGTCACCATCCCCGGTATGGCTCGCCTGTCTTTTCAGATCAGTTTGGATTCCAATGATGATAAAATAGAAATCGTGATGAACATCGGTCCAACCATCGTGAAAAAAACGATAAAAATAAGCGGGAACGAGATCCTGAGCATCGACGACAGCGATGTGTTTTTCAGTTACACGGACCTCTAGAAAACTGTGAGTGAACGGGAAAACATGAAATCCAAAGGCATTTGTCCAGCAGATTGTGCGTCGACTCGGTTGCGCGTGGTGTATGCTATTAAACAAGCCGATCTCACCGCTATGCCGAGGAGACATAAGGCTATAGCTGAGGCATTCGGGAACCGATTTTGCATTCCACTTGACTTCGAACTACTGGAGGGTCACATGACGTTTTACCAAGCCGCGCTTGGCCATAGCCTGGAATACGAACTCATGTTTAACGATTATAGCAAAATTATTTTTACAGAGAGCGGTGAGGTGGGCAGCTATACCATCAACAATATTTCGTTGGAGTTCGACAAGGTCATGAATCCAAAATTGGCTAGACAAATTCGCAACCAGTATTCGGGAACGTTAGCCATCTTGTACGATCGCGTGCTGCGTCATTGGAAGGTCATAGTGAATAAAAGCGATACGTTGTGGAATATCAATCTGAACGATGAAGGGTATTGTGATCATTCCGGCGGAAGAATTTTCATTGTTTCAAAGATTAAACGAAAAAATTGTTTGAGGGAGAATTGAGGCTGTTTATCCTAGTTGATTGCAGTGCGAATAAAGACATCACCAAAAAGAGAGATATGTTATCGTATTTAGCGTTTTCGGGACGTCATATGAAACACAGCGTTTGGGTCCTCACGCAAAAATTCAACTTGGTCCTGAAAGACCTCAGGGAACAGACGCGATGGGTTGCCTTATTTCACTGCAAGGATAGGGATTCGTTCGAGGAATGTTTAAGAGGAAACGACATGATTCCCACAAAACCCAAACAGGAACGCGTGAAAAAAAATTGTCAGCCGAAACGAAACATGCCAAACTCGTGCTGAAAACAGACCACCCCGTTACCTAAGCAAAATTCAAGCAAAATCAAGCAAACTGCTCAGCAAAATCAAGCAAACTGCTTAGCAAATTGAATGTATAACCTTTCCCATATAAAAACCATGACGACGTTTGAAATCCTCGTGTTGTTTTATCTGACATTCATATCGTTCTGTATGGGTTATGCCGAATTTTGTTATATTAGATTTAAAAACCGATTGAAGTATTATAAGATGGAGTGTGATGATCTGCTCGAACAAATGCTATCCGAGGATAAAACGAGTACTGAAAGCGGTGGTGATGTGTCTCCCCACGTCATTGATAAGCGAGAAAGACTCGTAGCCCTAGCCGTGGGTGGGAAGGGGAAACAATACTTGGGTGAAAACATCACCACCGATAAAATGTATAAAATGTCTGATGGAGACATCGATAAACTGTATGCGAGATACGAAGCCCGATTCAGTGCTGAAATGACGAAAACCATAGGGTCGGCAATTCTACACCATTATAGCTTCGTCTCTGCTTCTCATTCCACCGGAACGTCGACTCTATTTGTGTGAAGATCTCGATGCATATCCGTTGATCGGTCACGCCTTGAACACTCTCATTTGTGAGTTGTATCACCGATATGGTATGTTCTTAGCTCCCGTCACTGCGGCAATCATTTCGGCGAAGCATTGTCAATTTAAACATAAATGTCCGACTAATGATATACAAGATGAAGGAGGCAAACATCGAAATGATGGATTCGACCTCGACACCTGCGGAGGAGACCCCCATAGTGAATGATACTGTAACGAAAAAAACAAGAATCCTAAAAAAAATAGCTGCCGGTAAAAAACTGATCAATAACCGACCATGGATTCTGTATGCTGTGGCAGCCACTTTCGTGGGTATCACTGAAGCTGTATGGTTATATAAAATGAAACAAAGCGAAACGAAAAGACTACACTGCTGCCAGCGGCGATGGTCAAACCATTGACAAAACAATTAGAGGTAAACCCACACATTATGTTATAATACATCATGTCTACCGCCGACGGAAAAACGGCGCCGTGTCACTCCGCCGTGGTCAGCGGTCTAGCCCTCTGCTCTGCGAGTTTAAGTAAAATGATCACGAAACAACAAACTCCCAAACTCGATTGACATGGGCATGCTCGTTCTAGATTTGGGACTGGCGATGGCCACCAAAGTATGCTCATCTAGTAAGGGATCATTCTGGAAAAAATATTAAAGTAATGTCGTTATTTTATAAATAAAATGGCCATGATTGCCTTGATGGTCGGTGGGGTTATAGTCAACGCCCTAGCCTTTTCGGGTAGCAATTACCTTTTATCTTATCTACGAAATCCAATGCCACCGAAATAGATGCGGAACGGAAACGTCATGATTTACCCACCGAGAAATTACAAGCCACACAAGCCGAATATGCGAAAAAACGCATGCAGAGAATAGATTTTATCAATGCCTAACTACAACGAGAAGGTCACGCCATGATTAAGGACGTGGACGAAGCCATGCACGTGTATTATCTCGTAAACGGAAAACAGCTGGAATCACTCGGCAATATGCCAACAATCTCGCAGTATGACACCCCTTCCACGGGCCAAAAAGGCCGCGAGTTGACCTTCGTGGTTTTAGGCCTACCCGTGGCGGTTTTACTCGTCAATCAATTAGACTAACGTTCATCTATATGCATACAGAAGTGAAACATGAGACCCGCTCCATATCGTTGCAAATACATGCTTCTGGGAAAAGCCGAGACCTGTGACAAGACATGCAGGACCGAGTACTGCGGGATACACATGATGTCTATCAGACAGGGTTTCATGAACTACATGTGTTCGGTATGCGGTTTTGGAGTGAAATGTCATTATCGTTTGTGCAAAACCCACGGAGCGGATGTGGTCTGAAACCAACTTATTTATGATAAGAAAAAAGATTATCTCAACGAACGTAACAGACTACTCAGAATAAAAAAAATTAACAAATTAAAAAAATTGTGAACCAGTATTAATAACAGGATAAAAAATGTATAAAAAAATTATAAATTAAAAAAAAAAAAAAATTGAACTCGCACTCTAAACTGAGAGACTCTGAGTCCAGCATTTCCCCTTCACACTGGCAAACCTTGCTGTATATGGCTCAGTGAACTTAATCTATTTATTGCATCATGCATTACACATACACCTGTTGCTTCGGTTATTTAAACACTGAATACACAATAATTTAATGTGAGATTCAAACAATCGAGTTGGTCTTTGTCATCAGGGTAGGTTAGCCCCCCTATGGGTGTAGTATTTACACTGTTAATAGGGCTATTGTTTAAGCTATGGAATGTTTAAGCTGGTGAGCTGATAACCTAGTTTATTTTTAGCCTGCTGAAGCATTACACATACACCTGTCGCTTCGGTTATTAAAACACTAAAAACACAATATTGTAATGTGAGATTAAAAAAATCGAGTTAGTCTTTGTCCTCAGGGTAGGTTAGACCCCTATGGGTGTAGCATTCACACTGTTAATAGGGCTACTTTTAAGCTATGGAATGTCTAAGCTGGTGAGCTGATAACCTAGTTTACATTTAGTCTGAGTCGAGCAACCCCTATAGCTATCACCTGATAAAATAATTCTCCCAGGGTAGGCTAAAAGTTCCGAACACTCAGCTATCAGAGCCGCGCGGTGGCTGTGGTCAGGTGTTACTGCTGGGTTTGGTCTTATGAAGTGAAGCTGCGTAACTTTGCATTGTGAGTTCGTATCCCAACAAAGCCTCTATGGGCTTCTTGCAAACTTTTGCATTCGATTTCGCCAAGCAAGGTGTCACGAGCATATCAGGTGCAGATACTGTAAGGGTCTCATCTGAGGGGGTAAAAGTGGTCGACACAATCTCCTAGGGAGAACTTGCGCAGAACATCTTTCTCCCTAAGGGTTTGTCCACCAGCGGACGATTTTGCTAGTTTTGTAAACATATTTCTAAATTTCATTCAATAACATGTGCGACACACTGCCAGAAATAAGACCATTAGGGTACCCCGGTATTCCTTCCCCCCATCTGTAATACTACTATCTATCTACAATTTTGTTGATCATTGTTCCTTTCATATATAAATACAATCTTTACTGATACATATCATTACAGTTATTGGATTTAAAACCAATCGTTTTCGATATTGAAGGATCTTCTTCTTTATTACATGCTTTGACATACTTATCCTACAAAATCAGATGATCCTTATCTACCTTTTGTATTATATGTAACCACACAAGGCAATATACAACATCTTAATATCGTCCTAAAAATTTCGATCCCACGATCTTGTAGCTAGTGCGTAGAACGTTGGAACTTGTCTGCCTCTTCTGGTTTGGCTGTTGACCTCCAACATAAAGCACCATCTCTCCTGCAAATCAAATTGTGTCAGATTAACGCAAATAAATATACATTCATTAAACAAGTAACATCCAGCAGTGAAATGGGTACCTAGGATCATCCCCATTGGGTTTTTGATCCATTTCAAGAATACAGTGTAGGATAAAAGCTGTGATATTTGGAAGGTCGACACACGTCATGGGGGTAGTCATCACACCTGAAATGATTTGTTTCATTTAGTTCCCTGTTGATTTAAATATTCATTAACTGTTTCATCGGTTGATAGTGCCCTTGAACTCCCCATTCATGCCAAGCAATAGGAAATAAGCCTGTCTTGACCAGACAATCCAGTGACAACCCAAGGACAGTGATTAATCTGGCTCTTTCCTTCCAGTCATGGAACCGTCGAGTAGCATTGGTTGCTATCGACACATCCCAACCCATTCATAACGTTTGTAAAAATGTGAACATGGCGGGGTTTTGATGCTTTTAAACATGCTATTCATCCGGGACAGGAAATGTCTAACAGTGACAAATTACTCAATAAACCACGTACCTTCCTCAATTGTCCAGCCTGTGTTGTCAACCCACAACGCCATACTTTCAGCAGAGATAGTGAAATTAACCTTTATGTCTCCATTTGCAGGGATTGTAACTCGGTCGAACCAGGCCAGCTGTAACTGGGGAGTCGGTTCGGTGGCATTCACCCACTGTATGTAGACTTGTATAACCTGAATAAAAAATAATTCCATTCTGAAGCAGAAATATACTTGTGGAAACGAGTGTTTCTAGGTGCGTTGTGTTTAAAATATATATGTATTAGGCAAATCCAACCAATAAAAGAATGTTTACACGAAGATTACATCAAAGGACAATAATTCGAATAAATAGTCCATTTGTAAGCCTCTATGAATCAGGTAATGCTTTGAAAGTGAATTCGAGGAGTAAGACGAACCTCATCTCCATCAATATTCCCGATGTTGCTGACGGTGGCCATGCCCTGAAGATCTTGTCCTGCTGTGATTGCTATTGGGGTCTCCAGAAAGACGTAACTAAACTGAGTGTAGGACAACCCGTAGCCGTAAGGGTACAGAGGATCGCCCTTGAAGTACCGATACGTCTTCCCTTCCATTGAATAGTCGGTGATGTTGAAGATCTAGCAAAATAAAGTAATAAATAATCTGACTATCATAGAAAATGAGAAGTTAAGCAATTCGTGATCTTTAAAGTTGAAAACCACCCATAAATATATAAACGTTGCATGTCAATATTAAACAAGCTTTATGGAAAACAACGTCTTTTATTTCGTGAGTGCAACGTTTCGATACATATTCTCGTTTTCTCCTGCCTCCGTGACAACGGTACCATAATCTGCATCGAAACGTCGCACTCACGACATAAAAGACGTTGTTATCCATAAAGTTTTGTTTAATATTGTACATCCCAACACCTAAAATGCCACTCAAAGATTCTTTGCACGTCATTCGATGTCATTAGACACGAAAATACACATATCACCCATATCCTAACCTGATCCTCAGAGACGGGCCATGTAGCCGGCAGTCTTCCAGCAGGACTCGAACCTGGACCTTCGTTTATCATCACACGTCTCAGTGCCTCCCCTGTTGCCTGCGCTGGGAAGAAACATTCCAAAATGGCGGCGATATCGGAGCTTTGATCAGCCCAGGTCACATTTAGGGCTCCCGCGTTAAACAATAGGAGAACTACGGGGGTCCCATTTCCTGCAGACACAACAACACGGACCATATTAAACATACATAGATACATACAAGAGATGAAAACTGCTGATGTTGTAGGTCAGTGGTGTCAAAGTAGTCATAATAGTATCAGTCTTGGAGGATGCAGTGGGCAGTTGTGCGAAAAATGCGTCACAGAAAGAAATTTTATATTACTTTTTGCATTTGTCCAGTATCATTATACTAGAAAACTAGTGCCTTACATATTTTATGCAGATGCAAATACAGGTGATTTGACAAAGTTTTAATCACAAGGAATAAGATGGATAACATTAGATGCCTACTGTTTGCAGCGACGTCTTGAAGCAGCTGCAGTTGATAGCCGGGGAGGTTGATGTTGTAGCGATCGTTGCCCTCGGATTCAATTGTCCTCCCTGAAGTAAGCAAGCGAACCAGTGCACATGAGTAAATAGGTACAAACCAATTGATTCAGCTATTGAAGTAAACGAGTGAGATTTGGTGGTAGGAGAAGGACACTCTTAAGGTTTTCTTGTTTGTAGTATAACGCCACACTCATCAGTATTCCAGCTATATTGCAGCGGTCTGTAAATAATCGAGTCTGGACCAGACAATTCAGTGATCAACAGCAAGAGCATCGATCTACACAAGTGGGATACGATGACATGTGTCAACCAGATCTACATTTCGGGTCAGTGCCTCAGTATGAGTAGCTTTGTTGGATTTATGGTGATCCGACTTACCTGTTCCAAGACATACAAATATAACTTCTGTACTGGCGACGGCCTTCTTGATGGACACGGCATCATATTGTTTACAGAAAGTGTCGTTACAGCCGGATGCGTAGTTGACAGACTGTGCCAGTTTACCCAGTCCTTGCAGAGGTGTTTGTACAAAGGTGTGGAATGTATTAGGCGCATAATCTCCAAACAAAAGAAATGAATTATTGGCCATTGGTCCAACAACCTGGAAAAGAAATATGTCCCAGCCTGAATCAAAGAAAAGACACAGCTTTTTGCAGAAATTTTAAATAGTTTTCTATTCATTTTTATTGACTGCAATTCTATCCATAAAAATATTTATGTAATCTGTCTGTTGTGTAACGTTTACATTTAACACAGTACGTGCTAAATCAGCATTTAAAAAAATATATACAAATATAACTTCGACAGAAAGAAGATGGTCAAATAATTGTGGAATGTCAGAGGAGCATTGTCTCCAAACAACAGATGTGAATCATTGGCCATGGGTCCAACAATCTGGGAAGACACAAGTAATAGTGGAAGCTTTCAGGAGGAATATAAAATGAGTAACGTTTTCCCCTCTTTTGCCAACTGCATTTTTATCCACAGCGATTGTAAGTATAATGCGTCATTGTGATCCATCATGTCTGTAGTTGATGATCAGGTATGAGACACTGCCATAGCATTATCTATTTTACTGCCAGATGATACATAATTAATGTGCATCATGTGAGGTTACATATCATATCTCGATTGATATGCCTCACAAAACATAACATCTTAAACACATATTTTCGGACGCTTTCGGACTGATTTTAATTTCCTTCGAATATTTATTGAGCAATACTTCAGATAAATATAAAGGAACTAGTTACCTATAATTACATTAGTTGATAGTAATATCTCTAGTACACAAGTCTCATGAAGTATGCTGTATTAGTGCATCAGGATTGTTTAATTGAAACAATCACAAATTTACACTGTAACACGAAATTTGAAATGCGTATGTTAAACGCAAACTCATTGATGTTAGCAAAGACATTGAATGCACTGGCAATGGGTGGACGCAGAAGAGTGGGTTTTTTTGTCGTCTTGAATTAAGGCAGCATAGATAATAGACAAATTTTGTCCCTAATACATTAAATACACTCTCGTAGTCACTTTACTGCCCGAGCACATCATGTTATAACCGACTAACAATGACTGTCTACGGCAATAAGAGAAAAATATGTGATTTGTATCCTCTCATTGGCAATAAGATTCCAGTATATGTTCATGAACTTATCAACAAAATATTATTGTACTTTTGTTATACTCACAGCAATCCTGTCGAAAGTGTCTTTCTTCAGTGGTAGTATATTCCCTTCGTTCTTCAGCAATACAAAGGTCTTCATAGCTGCGTCGATTGCAAGCATCTGGTGAGCCTCGCTTTCGATGACAGAGAGGTCAAGTTTGGAATATGGGTTCATTTCCGGGGGATCAAACTCGCCCAACCTCATTCGGGTATAGAACAAGGGTTTTACCATATCTCTGACCTTTTCCTCCGTAAGCTTGCCTTGATTTATTGCATCAGCTGGAAATATTAAATATGTGATGCACAATATCATAATGAGATAGCTGGGCGAAGTAGTTATTTCAAAGAGCAAAATTAAGATTCTGCTGCGCATGAAACATCATTTGATTTTAACGCACAACCTTGTAGAAAGAAAACAAAACCGATATGTTTGTGCTACCAAACAGAAATGTGTTAAGTTATATATTTTTGAAATATTATAACCAACTTTATTAGTATTATGTTTCATTATTTAATGCACAATTATCTCAGTATGACTCATATCATTATATGAACATTTATGTCAAATGGCATTACCCATTGAAAAGTATGCAAGGTTGTCCTCTGGTCCTGCCAATTCTAAGTTGCATCCAGCGTTTACACAGTCAGAGACGACGTCCACGTAGTTATCGGCGTAGTGGTGACCACGTTGAACGTTCTCGATGGCGTTCTCGTCGCTGACGACGTAACCTGTGAAACCCCACTCCTCTCGCAGAATGTCGTTCAAGAGCTGCTTACTGGCACACGTGGGCACGCCATTAACGCTGTGTGATTAACTTGGAATTTATAATTCAGGTTTACATACGTTGAAAGAAGCCGAGAGATTATTCTCTTCTTATCTACTGTCAGCGGTTTCAACTATATATGTTCAGGTTTTTTCATAAAAACGAATTTAAGCCGGTTTTTATTTTTGTTTTCATTTTAATCATATATCATTTCATCTAAACTTGCCACTGTATTGTCCTTAACTAATTTTAACTTTGCATGATAGTTTTTATTCCTGATTAACTTACCTGTTGTAGCTACACATGACACTGTATGTTCCAGCCTTTACACAGGCTCTGAATGCAGGAAGGAAGGTCGTTCGAAGGTCACGCTCGCTTACCTGAGTGTGCAATAAACTACATATATGACGCTGCATAACTCAATATCTTTTTCTTAAATTGGGGACAAAACAAATTCGAAGCTTGAATTTGATTCTTGAATTTGGCATACATTTGTCACTTTACACCCCTAAAGATTCCTACAAGGGAAAGTGATACAGGGTCAGATGCAACCTGATGGCGTGTTTACCATTGCATCGAACTTCAACCTTGAAATGGGTATATTCTCTGGTCCGTCATAAGCTGCAAAGTGTTTACATCCGGCGTTTGTGCGCACATAGCGCGTGTCGTTGCCCTGTAGTCCTTTGATAAAGCTAGCTGCTAGGATACTGGTCAGGAAAGGGTCTTCACCGTACGTTTCCTGTTGCAATAAATAAATGAATGAAAAGGAATTCCTCCGAAAAGACCAAAATCACAAGTCCATTAAGAAAGTATATCTTGAATCATAATGGACATCCTACTCCTACTAATGCTGCGTGTACACTAGGCCATGATTAGGCCACGATTATGCCGATCCGACGCGAACCAATTATCGTAGTAGATCTTCATGATCGTGGAACGTTTTGTTTATTTTCCCTTTCTTGACGCTCTTTCACGTTTTCATACGTTTTGATAGGATTTCATACCTATTCTTACGATTGGATATCTGATCAGTTACGCGTCAGTGAAGATCTGTTGCGAGTATTTGACGATCTGTAGCGACTTTTTACGATGATTACGATTTGAGTATACGATCTCTTACGTTTTGAGACGTTTATAACGATCTGCTACCTTTTGTTACCTTCTGTTTAGACAAGGAAGGGCGATTAAATCCGATTGTGTCACGATTCTCGGACAACATGAGTTACTTTGGAGCCCTTTCCTTTGCCCTTCCCTTTTTCGGTCACATCTGCCATATTCTACAATGAAAATGACGACAAAATAGTGTGAAACGGCTTGCAGTTGGATCACAATGAATTTCTTCTGACAGCGTGACACAATTTATAGGAAAGCACACCAAACGCACCAGAACGTGTCGCAGCACAAGGGAGCATAATAGATCGTGACAGATCGCGATGGATCGTTGACGGAAATAGTAGTACAGCATGTTAAAAGTTCAAAGAAATGCATATATATATATATATTGTGTACAACGTGACAAAGCGCGGGAGATCTCAATAGAATCATAATAGATCGTAATAGATCTTTATAGAATCGCAATAGATCTTGGTAGAATCGTGGAACAATGGGAACAAACATCTGATACTCGTTATTACGAAGTATTACGGTCATCCCAACACGCTCCATTGCGCTTTGTCACGCTCTTATACGATTTGTTCCGATGCCCACACTTTACTACGCAGTCCTACGTTCTGAAACGATAGCTACAAAATAGGCAAGGTCGTGGCAAAATATTAAACACGATAATAAAGATGCCTCACGACCATGGAGATCTCTTGCGATCACCACGATTTGGATCTGCGATCTCTCACGCTTTATAAGAAGACTTACGATTTTTAAAAAAAATACGAATCGTGTCCTTGTGTAAACGCAGCCTTATCAACTTCTTCGTTATCTATTCTGTCTGCTTTCTTCTGTCAATGAACAGAGAGACCACGATGGCTTGATACAGTTGTGAATGACGTTGCATTGCGTTGCGTCGCGAAAATGTGATCACTGACCACTCAAACCAACCGGGTTTTCGTGTAAGCAAAGTTGTATATATGTTGTAATGGATGCTTGCTTGTCAGAAACATGCAAGTGGCTACAATTAACTACACCTTTTATTTAAACGTATGACAAGTATGCAGCGATTCAAACTAAATTCTCAAAAGTGTACAAAATCGTTTCAGCATATGTGAGCATTCTGTGCTGATATTGGCATCAGTTTATTGAACTGGCTACCTGGAGAAGTAATAGTACAGTATTTGAAAATGATCTAATTTCACTTAAACGAATGTAATGCATTGCTCCAGTCTTTGCCAAAATATTTGGGTTTGATTTCAGAAATGATACAGTGACTTTATTCGTTTTATTTGAATATTTCGTTAATTACACCGATTTTGAGATATCGAGATGTAATAAACTGATAATGTAATTCTTATGAACATTATCCACATTTTGAGTATGGTCTTAATGAAAGTTTTTCGAAAAATGTTCACACTTTCCACGTTAACCACTGACCTGATTTCTGCCCCACCTGGGGTCCCTGACAATGTTGATGACAGGACTGAAGCAGCTTACGCCCTTGTGTGTTCCAAAAACGCCATTTCCACTGAAGTTGTTGAATTTAGCCCTGACTTCTACTGCAGTTGCCTCCGCTATTTGGAAAACCAAAAAAGGGCTGAAACAGCGAAGACATTATGTACCAACCATTAGTAAATGAGGGTTGTGGGAATGATGTATATGTGTGAATTTGAGTTTATTTATGCACATGTGTTTGTGTGTGGTGCCAAACTCCCATCTGTTCCTGTCAGAACGCTTACCACAGCAACCTTTCTGTTGAGTGCACAATAGGACACCTGCCTAATACCTTTTTGATGGTGAATGAAGCCAGGTAAAAGTAGCCATCAAAATACAATCTTATTGTCACGTCGTTGATAATGTTACTTAGAGGTAATCAGTCCTTTTGCCTTAAAAGATGTTCCCGAGTGGGTTTTTTCCAGATATGTCACTAAAATAGGAATACGGTTATATTTGTGCGTAACTAGTATGTTGATTGAAATGTCCATGACAGCAAGTGTCCTTTTTATCCCAAGCGCAAAATCTGAGAGAAAATATTATCTCTGAATCAGAGAATCTAATGTGTTTTGTGGAATTTGATGTTCTGTTTTGTTGGTTCGAACTTCTACGGTATTTCCAAGCAACTAGTATCAAGAAGTCATCAATAATTGATGCTCTAACGGATCGTTTGCCTGGATCCTGTTCCTACTTGGACTGTGATAGGTTGCCACAAAACTTCCTGTCCTTCACTCTCATTTGTGTTGAACGCCTCACTGGTTATAATTTGGCACCAAACCCGTATATCTGAATGCAAGTAGAAACAGTTTGGAGAGTTGTGTATGAGAACCCAGGCACACTCCTGATCTGCTTTAAAGATATCAGGAGGTATCAATCCAAGTGAACCCAGAACAGTGGAGAGTTTTACGACAGTGTATTTGGGATGCAATCGGGACATTTCAAAGGCGAGGTGTGCATATGTATCATGTTTTTACTGCTGCCGAAAGTGACAGAAAGTGTCCTGGTCAGTGAAAAAAAAACATGTTTCACCTTTAAGGCATAGCCTACCTCATTCATGCAGAGGAGTTGATTAGATTGCTATTAAGTTCCACACACTGCATATATACATGGTGAAGTGGTTTCCCAGAAAAAAGTCTTCCTAAATGACTCTGGGCTGACTTGGAAAGTTATTATGCTCCTTTGGTGAATGACTTTACGTGTTTTACACCCATGTCCAGCAGTAACCTCCATCAAGAAAACGTCACCGTTGACATCCTGACCGACAACCTTGGCGTGCTTAAAAAAGCTTTGGAATTCCTTGCTTTCACCATGAGTCTTGACATCCGTCACTAGAGGATCATGATTATGTGCAACGGAGCACAAATACATTCTATCACGAAGGCCCTCCACCTCCACATTAATCAAACCGCCCCCCTCCCGAACTGCCGAACTGATTGGAATATATAAACAATTGAGAGAGGAATGGGTTCTGTTGTCAGATATTATCCATCTAGTCATCTGGTGAACGACTCTGGATGTTTGACTTTGTCCATTCAATTACTCCAAAGGAATATTAAAGGACAGGAAAAACAAAATATTTGTCACTTTGATCTTCTTTCGAGCATTTAGCTTTTAGCACCATATTTTCTTTGAGGGAGGTTTATGCTAAACCTTGAGTTTGCCTTGCATTTCGGCACTCAAATGCTTGTCTGGAACTTGCATTCCAAGAGAAGTGTAGGCATGGTCATCCATATGCTCAAAAACACCGTCCTCCTTGGACGTGTCTGATCTATCATTCTTTAGCCATGTCCAAGATTAAAATGAAGAGTATTGCATTTGTAGAGTCCAAATTGTAAACCAATATCGATCGTAAGGGACTCTACTCGAAGAACCTGCTCTTTGAAATTGGCGTCTCCTTTGGCATCCGCGTGATGTGTAATCGGTGTTTGGGGCCTTGCTGTGGAGGTCTGGGATGGTATCTGTCCTCTCTATTGAGGAGAAAACCCAAAGGATTTAAAGACAAAACAAAAAGCAAAGGGATAATCGAGTGCCCCTTGACTATTCCCCTTTCTGATTGGAATTGACACTGAAGTCTGCACCTGCCCTTGAGAGTACCTGTCAAATTGAGTCGATCTGCAACTCCTTAAAGACTTGAGTAAGTAAAGTAGTCCTTTAGGCAGATCAGTACAATGAGACTTCAGAATTCATTTCTAAGGGACAGAGTCACATGTTCACTTGTGTAGTTAATGTAGCACATGGAGGTGTATTATTCTCATAACAGCATAACATAAGCTACGATTAGCATTTTCTGTATCTGCAACTTTGGAGGAAAAGGCGACAGTCTATTTAACTAAAGTACTCCTGGAGTACCAAGAGTATTGTCTTCCCTACTCAACTATCAACCAAAGTGGTTGTCAGACAACTGCCTTTTTCTGATTGTATCATTTTCACTTATGAAAACGATTTGTGATTATTGACGGAACGACACCACACCAAAAATATTTGTAGAAGTGTTTAAAGCTGTTTGCACATGTTACGGCAGTAGTCATGAAGTGCTTCGAGCGTATTGTTATCTGTATCCTCTCCAATCACGTCAGTGACAAGCTCGACCCTTTACAGTTTGCGTATCGAGCCAAGCGAGGAGTTGAAGACGCTACAATTACCCTGTTACACAACATCTATCAACATCTGGAAAATACAGGAGCTTATGCACGCATTTTATTCGTCGACTTTTCTTCGGCCTTCAATACCATCCAACCTCACATACTCACGAAGTAGCTAACTGATCTGGATATATATATGCCCACAACTCCACTACGTTCTACTGCACAGAGAACAACATGTAAAAGTCAACCATCACTAACACAGGAGCTCCCCAGGGCTCTGTACTATCACCTATGTTATTCACGCTCTACACCAATGACTTTGTCAGTACTAAACCCAACTGTGAAAGAGTGAAGTTTGCTGACGATACTGCCATAGGCAGGACGAGGATTCATACAAAGAAGAAGTGTCTGGATTTACGGAATGGTGCAGAGATATCTTCCTTGAACTAAATGTGAAGAAGACCAAAGACCTCATTATTGACTTTCACAGGAATAAATCGACTATTACACCCGTCTTCATCAACGACCAAACAGTTTAGGTTGTAGAGGAGTACAAGTACCTAGGGACAATCATTGATCACAAACTAACTTATCTTATCTTATCTTATGTTGCCAAGAAAGACATTCGTTGAGCTACAAAGAATAGTGTTTGTGAGGTGTTTGCAAGTAATTTCAAAGTGTCAATAGCCTCACATAATTCGAATTAGATCGCTAAAAGTAAAGTGCTAAGAAAAGAATAAGCGCGTGATGCTCTGTCATCAGCAAGTCATGTTGAACTGTTGTCATAATTACTCTGAGCTAGAAAATGTATCTATCACCTATTTTTCTGATCAGAATTTTATACAAATTTGTCTTAAAAAAACATTAGACGTACCTAAACGAAGCAGCAAGACCTAGAGCCTGGGGAAATCCTGTAGCGTTGCCTGCCTCCGCGTCACCTCTCAGACATTCCGTGTTCCAAGAGTATGGCTTGATACCAAGTCGGGGGATAGGAGGGGTCCCATCTCTGGCCGCTCCACCCCTCGCCATCTGATACTGGATCTCATCTATGGAGAGACGACTGACTAGATCATCTACCCGGTCACTCCAAGACAGTGAGGTGTTTCTGAAGGGGAAGTCTGTTAGCCCCTGGGTTAGCGCAATGCACAGGGTACAAAGGAGAACGGTCAACGCACCTGCTGCCATGGTGTCAGTAGCGACTGATTTAAGGTATGTCAGACGCAGACTCGACCTATATCTTCAACCGTCTGATAGTGATTGAGGAATATGCTTGCGCAACATTATACTTATCATAGATCGTCTGACACAGATATGGAGTTATGTGTACATACAAACTTAACTCTGTATGTCACAGACAGGACATAAGTTCATGTACAGGGCGGTGGGGTAGCCTAGTGGTTAAAGCGTTCGCTCGTCATGCTGAAGACCTGGGTTCGATTCCCCACATTGCCACAATGTGCGAAGCCCATTTCTGTTGTCCCCTGTAGCTGTCTTGGATATTGCTGGAATGTTGCTAAAAGCGGTGTAAAACCAAACTCACTCACTATCACCCGTTCCGTGTACTTTAAAGATTTGAAATATGACACTGTAATGAATGGATGTATGAGTGCATGGTTTCACAGTGACGAGGTATTCATCAGTAGATATTTACTGTATCCAGGTTGTAGTTGGCTTACTGTTAATGTAATGCAATTATTTAAAAACTATCTAGAACCAACTACAGACACTAGTATTCAGTACTAAAGTACTGTCGGAAATAAAAAAACAACTGTTTTAGGCTGTTACTCTGTACCCCTAAAATGTACACAATTGCAAATAGCACATGTCGAAATAACCCACATCGGCCTTACTGGGCGTTCAGTGAGATGTGTAATAGGATAACCAGAAGCATGTTTACTCGTTAAATCGGGCACAAATACGAATAGCTGCTGAAAACAATAGATCAGACTATAGATGGCAATTAGGTCGTCCAGCCAGGTATGATGACGGACCGCTCGTATGAAATGCATGTGCTGCCGACAGGCATAAGGGGTCATCTCAAAGATAGGTTATGTTTTTTTCTTGTGCGCTGAATATGTCTCATCATAAAGTTTATGCTGAGATATGTAAAAGAGTATGATAACCATAGAAAAGCTTAAATCAGCCACCGTATTAAATGTCTCAAAATATATAGGTTGCATGACCACTCGAAGATCTACAGGACTGGATATTATTTTTAAACTGTGATGACATGCCGTTTACTTCCCCAGTTTAATTCCCCTAAAGGATTATCATTCTTATCTCCGCTGATATCTCTATCCCCCAGCCCGACCCCAACGACCGTCTACCACACCCATCCTGGTTTTGCTTTTGAAACAACCCCTCCTATCTGTTTGTTTTCATAGTGATAGTGAGACTCCATGGTAGCTACATCCATATTAGTTTCAGTATTAAAGTTATTATTTTTTACGTCAGCCATCGTTTATAATGAAGGTAAGTCTAATTTCAAAATGGGTATTAAAAACTGTCCTTTGTAATAAATATTATCGCACTCTAATTTGCATAAAGTCATGATCTGTTCTAAGTCGCTTTAGACCAAATGCTCATTTCTGCACTAATAACTCTTCAGTAAAGTCATTTTTCTGCGTTTCCTATCTCCCTACCACTGAGATTGTAGTTAGACCGAACTTAGTTTAACAGATATTTCACACTTTGACATATTAAATAAATAAATTGTAGATATAAATGTGAAAAAAAACCAAAAAAACTATTTCCGACAGTACTTTAGTGTTAAGGACAGGCATATTGTCACGTGACGTAGAAAAACAGATCGAAACAATTACAGAATGAGAGCAACTCCAAATCAAAAGTCACAGATAAGATTAAATTCCTTAAACAAGAGAAATTTTAATACTTGGACAGAAGGTTTTGATCACATGTTTTAGGTGTTTTTTTATAACAGCATGTTTTCAAAGTAATATTCTCTGAATTTGTCCACGGAAACATATAAACATATGACATATGCCATACGTTCAATATCGATAAATGTTCCACTTTCGAACACAACATGTAGGGAGACCGGCACTGTGGGAGACATGGCTTTCGGTCTCTTTACCACTTATCGGTACCGGCAAAAATACCTAATTCCAGGGACATTTGCCACAGCGAGACTCTTGTAATTTATGTCCCTATCTATACTAAACCACAAAAGAAACGTCGCACTTCAAAACCAACTGCAAAATTTTGTTCTTACAAGGTGGTGTTTTTATTATGATTGTACCGTTTTGTTAACATGTTTTACCATCCAAATTGACAGTTATTACCAACATCAGTGTGTTTCCTGATGAAAAAGCATATCGACCAAACGCACCGAAAAAGACAGACATGGTAAAAGGTTCCGTATGACATTCGAGAAAATGAAAGTGCACGTGCATATCGTGACAACCCTACCAATGAAAGCGAGTCCCAAACTCGCCTGAAATCATTTTTGTTTTGACACAATCACCATGCCACGACTTACGAGAGATCAGAGGAACCAAGTCTGTGGACGATTGCAAGTTAGGGAGGGTAGCCAATCATTTTAATGTTCATGTTAGGACAATCTACCGACTGCAGGAGTGGTATCAGCTCATTAACAGCATCCAAGACCGTCCACGCAGTGGGTGACCTTTAGTAACATCACAACGTCAAGACCGACAGATTGTGCGCAACGATCTGCAGGATCACTTCTCCAGCGCGACGGAAACATGGCGCCAGACCATTGGGACTCACAACAGACCCATCAGTGCCGAGTTAGTGCGTCGACGTTTGCGCGGAAGAAACCTCTGCTGTCACAGACCATATCGTTGTCCTGTCCTCACCGCTCATCACCGCCAAAACCGACTGCAATGGGCAACTCAGCATCGAAATTGGCGTTATCGACAATGGAGAACTGTGCTTTTATCTCATGAAAGCCGATATTGTGTTTCGACAGTCGATGGCAGAGTGAGAGTATGGTGAAGGCGTGGGGAACTGTTTCCAATGAGTGTATTGTTGAAAGAGACTCGTGAGGTGGTCCAAGCATCATGGTGTGGGGTTCAATCAGTCTGAACCAGTTAGTTGACACCATGGTGTTCCAGAATCTTGGTCCAGGACGAGGAAATGACGTGGCAGCTGCTCGCTATATTGACCAAGCCACAAGACCCCAAGTTGTACCACATTTTGGACGTTACAGAAATCACATCTTCCTGCAAGACAACGCCCGTGCCAACACTGCCATAGCAACATTGGACTTCCTAAGACAACATGGCACCCAAACCCTACAATAGCCTCCACTCAGTCCGGATTTAAGTCCAATAGAACACCTTTGGGACGAGATTCAAAGAAGACTGAATGACCGCCAACCAAGGCCGACAACTGCGCTGGACTCGATCAGGCATTTCACAGAGTATGGACCCAAGTGCCTATGGCCTTCATCAACCGGCTAATTCATTCCATGTACAGACGATGCAACGCTTTCATCGATGTCCATGGAGGCCACACGCAATACTGACTTTGGGGTATCTTAATGGTACAATTTGTTTGGTGATTTTGTTTGTGTGAACTCTAAATGTGATTCCCGAAAATGTGTTAACCATAATTGTCAAGTTTGAACTCAATCCTCCGTTTTGATTGTTCATTAGTGTGTGCTTTAAGAAACCGCTATCATTAAAATGGAAACATTTCTTTTGTGGTTCGACATTTTTTGTGTGGTTCAGTATATTCACAAGACACTTTCAATAAAATGGAATGTTGCGGTGTTGACCAACACATTTAAATTTCAAGAATGGTGTGTGGGTTTGACTCGTGGATCCTACACAGTATTATAATTCCGGCTGCTTGAGCATCTCCTGATATTTTTGTTTGGAGTTGGTCTTGATCAATTCATTAGTTCACATATAATGAATACATTATTTATTTTTGGTGACAGTTGGTCCTCATGTTAAGAATCTATCTACAATTTTGTTAATCATTGTTCCTTTAATATATAAATACAATCTGTACTGATACATATCATTACAGTTATTGGATTTAAAACAAATCGTTTCCAATATTCAAGGATCTTCTTTATTACATGCTTTGACATACTTATCCTACAGAATCGGGTGATCCTTATCTTCTTTTGTATTATATGTAACCACACAAGGCAATATATAACATTTTAATATCGTCCTAAAAATTTCGATCCCACGATCTTGTAGCTGGTGCGAAGAACGTTGGAACTCGTCTGCCTCTTCTGGTTTGGCTGTTGACCTCCAACATAAAGCACCATCTGTCCTGCAAATCAAATTGTGTCAGATTAAAGTATACATTCATTAAAAGGTAAGTGCAATGGGTACCTAGGATCATCCCCATTTGGTCTTTGATCCATTTCAAGAATACAGTGTAGGATAAAAGCTGTGACATTTGGAAGGACGACACACGTCATGGGGGTAGTCATTACACCTGAAATGATTTGTTACATTTAGTTCACTGTTGATTTAAATATGCATGAACTCTTTGATTGGTTGATAGTGACCCTGAACGCCCAATTCATGTCAAGCAATAGCAAATATGCCTGTATATACTCGGTCTTGACCAGACACTCCAGTAACAGGTTATGAACAACAAAGGCAGTGAATAATTTCGCTCATTCCATACAGTCATCGACTCATAGAGTAGCAGTAGTTGCTATCGACCCATTCCAATCCATTCATAACGTTCGAAAAAACGTGAATTTGACGGGTTTTTATGCTTTTAGACATATTATTCATTCGGAACAAAAAATATATATCAGTGACAATTACTCAATAAACAACTTACCCTTCTCAACTATCCAACCTTTGTTGTCAACCCACACCGCCATACTTTCGGCAGAGACGGTGAAATTAACCTTAATGTTCCCATTGCCATGGATCGTAACTCGGTCGAACCAGGCCAGCTGCAACTGAGGAGTCGGTTGGGTGGCTTTCATCCACTGTATGTAGACTTGTATAACCTGGATGAAACATACCTTTGGTCAGCAGAAATATACTTATGATAACGAGTGTTTGAAGATGTGTTTTTATTTAAAAATATTAATAATTTTCCCACGTGGCGTATGCAAATCCAACCAACAAAGGAATGTTTACATTGAGCTTAACTTCTTTGAAAGGCATTTTAGAAGTTGCAAAGGAAGGTGATAACAGTGATAGTATCTACACCGAAACGTCGCATTCATGACGATAAAGAAGTTGACTATCAATAGAACTTGGTTTTCCGACATGAAGCTCACATGAAAGGACAATTATTCGAATAAATAGTCCACTGGTAAGCCTCTACAAACCAGGTGATGTATTGACGGTGAGTAAAACGAACCTCATCTCCATCAATATTCCCGATGTTGCTGACGGTGGCCATGCCGTGAAGATCTTGTCCTGCTGTGATTGTTGTTGGGTTCTCCAGATAGACGTAACTAAACTGAGTGTAGGACAACCCGTAGCCGTAAGGGTACAGAGGATCGCCCTTGAAGTAGCGATACGTCTTCCCCTCCATTGAATATTCGGTGATGTTAAAGATCTGGGAAAACAGTTTGAACACATTCTTACTACCGTTAAATGTCATGCAATTCAAGCGTTGTCTACTTGCAAAGTTGACATGTTTAGCCATAGTGGCCTCTTAATGTGAATGTTTTCAGGTAATCCCCTTTGACGCGAAACGGAATGCTCCACTTTACACTTACCTGATCTTCAAAGGCGGGCCATGTCACAGGAAGTCTACCAGCAGGATTAGAACCTGGACCTTCGTTAATCATCACACGTCTTAATGCCTCCCCTGTTGCCTGTGCTGGGAAGAAACATTCCAAAATGGCGGCGATGTCGGAGCTTTGATCAGCCCAGGTCAGGTTTAGAGGACCGGCATTAAACAGAAGGAGAACCACAGGCGTCCCATTTCCTGTAGAAAGAGAGACGTAGGCATATTAATCTCTTGACATATAAATAGTTATATATACTTCTTTTAATTATGTTTTAAGTAACGGTTGGAACCAGCATAACAAAAAACCTGCGGACAGAAAATACATCATCATGATCATCTTGAACCTGCGGTTTATGTGGAATACTTGTTACGAGATACCTCCAAGATCAGGCAATATTAACTGTGTGTCCCTACGTTGTTGGCGTCAACATTAACCATTAATCCTGCCGGATTAAGCAAAACACGTCACAAGATTTAAACTACTTTGGTAGTAGTCTAACAAATATGCCGCGGAGGACTAAGCCATCAAACATTATATCCACACTGAAACTGGGCCTTCGACGAATATAGCAGGATCTGGTGAATTTAGCCGAAGGTCTTACCACTACAAAGGAAAGTAACATTTGAGATATCTACTGACTGTTGGCAGCAACGTCTTGAAGCAGCTGTAATTGATACCCAGGGAGGTTGATGTCGTAGCGATCGTTGCCTTCGGATTCAACCGCTCGTCCTGAAGTAAGCATGATTACGTGTCAACGTGAGATACACCTTCAGGAGTAGATACGTACAATACAAATGATGACGTGGTTGGGTAGCCTAATGGTTAAAGCGTCCGTTCTCAACCCTGAAGACCCGGGTTCGATACCCCACATGGGTACAATGTGTGAAGCCTATATCCGGTATCCACCTGTCGTGATATTGCTTGAATATTGCTAATGGCGGATTCATTTTGTGATGTACACGAGGGAATTATCTGTTCGCGCCTTGTCTGAGACAATGCCATAGTGACCTAAAACTTGATCTACGTTTAATGTTGAACATATTGGAGATAGACTTCTTGAAGACAGATAAGATTTGGGAATAGTTTACATGATATCTTGAAGATAGAGGCACTTGATTTCTGGGAAGAACAGATTTTCAATAATTATACTTGGCATGTACAACTGCAATATTTTCTGACGTGTTAGATCTCATAGTAATCCTACTTACCTGTTCCAAGACATACAAATATAACTTCTGTACTGGCGACTGCCTTCTTGATGGATTCGGCATCATAATGCTTACAGAACGTGTCGTCACAGCCGGCGGCGTAGTTGACAGACTGCGCCAGTTTAGCCAGTCCTTGCAGAGGTGTTTGTACAAAGGTGTGGAATGTATCAGGCGCATAGTCTCCAAACAAAAGAAATGAATTATTGGCCATTGGTCCAACAACCTGGAAAGAAATATGTCACAGCCGGAATCAAACAATAGACACAGCTTTTTGCAGAAATTTCAAATGATTTTCTATCAATAAAAACATTAATGTAATCTGTCTGTTGTGTAACGTTTTCTTTCAACATAGTACGTGCTAAATCAACATTTTCAAAAACATACAAATATAACTTCGACAGAAAGAAGATGGTTAAAAAATTGCGAGCGTAATATATTTTAGGAGTATTGATATGCCATGTCCGTTATTCATCTTTAGTGAGTGAGTGAGTTTAATTTTACGCCGCAATATTCCAGCTATATGGCGGCGGTCTGTAAATAATCGAGTCTGGACCAGACAATCCAGTGATCAACATCATGAGCATATTCATCTTTAGATAAATGTATGATACATATGGAGTATATTCTCTTTTTACATAAAAAGGGGCACTATTGTCTTCGTCATCTCACACGTTGTGTGGAGATCACCTTTCACCCTAGATTCTCAGCCAAGTTCTATTTTAAAAGCTATCTATTGTTGCAGTGAGGTTAGTGTTGTTGACGCTGTTTCTGTAGTTACCAATTATTTTTTACATGACTTTCCCTGCCGTTGTACTGCCGCTCTATTAAATAGAATATTTTTTTTTTTCAATTTATAGCGGGTTCTTTTGCGTTCTTTTCGGGTTAACGTTTTGTTTTTACAACTCTGGTATTGACACGTGACAGGTCTAAGCACCGATATTTTGTGGAGCGGCAAGCGATTGGTGCAGTGTTGTGACATACGTAATATATAATAAACTTTAAACAAAGTGTTTAGCTGAATTTACGTTATTATTCCTTAAACGGAATTGCGTAGCGCATCGTGATTGTAAGTCAGCATAAAGTGGGCACGATTAAAGCAAATAAGGAACATGTGAGACTTACGACTGCACCGTAACTTACTATTATCATGTCACATCGTTTACTGTGACTTCAAAGATGCGACTAAACGGTCAGAAAGAAATACTTTCAGACGTTCTGTTTTTCCCAAAATGCACTCTCGTAGTCGTTTTCCATTATGCCTGCCCAAATGTATTGTCTTAAATTTGTTGCAACCGTAACCGGTTAGACAGAAGAATTTCCCTGTGTATGTTATACTCACAGCAATCTTGTCGAAATATCCCGCTTTCTTCAGTGGTAATGTGTTCCCTTCATTTTTCAGCAATACAAAGCTCTTCATGGCCGCCTCGATTGCAAGCATTTGATGAGCCTGACTTTCAATCACAGAGAGGTCAAGTTTGGAATATGGGTTCATTTCCGGAGGATCAAACTCGCCCAGTCTCATTCGTGTGAAGAACAAGGGCTTGACCATTTCCCCTGACTTTTTCCTCTGTAAGCTTGCCTTGATGTATTGCATCGACTAAAAAACATAATGTGCAATGGATATACATGGACATGTATACTGAATTAAAGAACAAACAGGCACACCGGGCAACATTTTCTCTCATTCTGCAGCAAAATGAAAATGATGTACAACGTTCATGTACTGAGAAGGGATGTGTGAGATTACCTAATTATAATGAGTGAATGTTTTCCCTGTTCCCTGTTGCTGTTCATAATTTAACATGTAACTTTCATGCATGTGTAAAGGAAACATTTGATTCCATTAAATGATAGAACGAACCACACTAGTACTGCCAGACAGAACAGTTTTGTTATATTTTTAAAATAGTATAACGAGTTATGCGTTATGGCTACAAACTTAGCTTTTGTAGAAATTCAACACTTGATACATGTGTCATTGTTTCAATTATAGGCAACACTTATCCATTAACAACAAATATATCAATGTGTACGTATTGAAATTAACTTTCATATGGTATTACTCATCGACATGTATGCAAGGTTTTGCTCTTCTCCGGATAATTCCAAGTTGCATCCAGCGTTCACACAGTCGGCGACGACGTCCACGTAGTTATTAGCGTAGTGATGGCCACGTTGAACATTCTCAATGGCGGTGTCGTCGCTGACGACGTAGCCTGTGAAACCCCACTCCTCTCGCAGAATGTCGTTCAGGAGCTGTTTACTGGCACACGTCGGTACGCCGTTCAAGCTGTGTAAGTAACACCAGAATATAACCAGAGAATATAGTCTTACTGCTCTTGTATTATCATCACCATGCAGATTGATAGAGAACCTGTTGAAGCTACATTAGAAACTGTATGTGCCTGCCTTACTTACCTATTGCAGCTACACATGAAACTGTATGTTCCAGCCTTGACACAAGCTCTGAATGCAGGAAGGAAGGTCGTTCGAAGATCACGCTCGCTTACCTGAGAGTGCAATTATATTACACTTTAGACATGATGCTGCGCAACTATTCTAAACTGGGCTTGCAACGATTGTTGAAATATTGTAACGATAAATTTAAAATATAACTGTGTACAAAACATATTGAAAACTTGACATCGTTTCTAGAATTTAACATGCGTTTGCAAATTTATACCCTGATTAATCTTCGAGGGAATTTGATCAAACTCTCATGTAACATGCTTGTGTCTTTACCTTGGCATCGAACTCGATCCTCATGATGGGTATATTCTCTGGTCCGTCATAAGCTGCAAAGTGTTTACATCCGGCGTTTGCGCGCACATAACGCGTGTCGTTGCCCTGTAGCCCCTGGATGAAGCTGGCTGCGAGAACACCGCTCTGGAAAGGGTCTTCCCCGTATGTTTCCTGTTGATTCAGTGTGTAAGTGGAATGAATAGCTTTCCAAACAAATTGAAAATAACATTTCCATCAAGGTCATGTATCTTGAATTTCATCATTAACTCCAGATCCCTATTTCTCCTATTCCTGTGTCTGTGATTCTACTCTTTAATTTATGCTGAAGACGGCTTGTGTGGACTGGTACTTGAACTTCACAAGAATATATCTTTAATAACGTTTTATGACCTTGACCACACCAGTACCTGAATACCATGGTAGGAATTGAAAACATACACATTGATAAATCAATATTTTTTGGAAAGCATAACAGACACATGCAAACGATTTTCCTTAATAATAACTGAGAAACTTTGAAATTGAAGCCATTATTTGACATACAGTTATACACTTTTGATAGTCGTTTGAATATTCCTTTGTAATTCATTATTTAACTACGTGTTCATGCCATAAACTAAAAAGTTATTCTTATTAAGATCAGCCACCTGTGACTTAAGTACAAATGACGCATATTACAAGCGACGTTAAACTAATAAAGTCTGGACTGAATTCCACGTTTACTACTCACCTGAATTCTGCCCCATCTAGGGTCCCTGACAATGTTGATGACAGGACTGAAGCAGCTTACTCCCATGTGTCTTCCATAGACGCCATGTCTACTGTAGTTGTTGTACTTTGCCCTGACTTCTACCGCAGCTGCCTCCGCCATTTGGAACACTAACCGGGGACTGAACCAGTAAAGAACCTTTAATTTTAGGACAAATTCTGATAACATTGCCAAAATCGGTCATTCTCATTTAGAGGAGAAAACAAATAGATCATTTTGGTTGAATTTTTCTATTCTGCAATGTACAGAGTGTTCAATTTAGCATGCGACTTTCACTTAATCTGGTTTTTAGAATTTGTATACTACCCCACAGAAACTGGTTGGCTGTGTAAGTTGTTCGAGGGTAAATTCCCAATGCTGACGAAACGCATTCCACCGGGGAAAGATTTAAAAATGACATTACTCGTACCTAAACGAAGCGGCAAGACCAAGAGCTTGAGGAAATCCTGTAGCGTTGCCTGCCTTTACGTCACCTCTCAGACATTCCGTGTTCCACGAGTATGGTTTGATACCCAGTCGGGGGATAGGAGGAGTACCATCATTAACTGCCCCGCCTCTCGCCATCTGATACTGGATCTCCTCTATGGAGAGTCGACTGACCAGATCATCCACCCGTTCACTCCAGGGCAGTGAGGTGTTTCTAAATGGGAAGTCAGCCAGCCCCTGGTTAAGGGCAACACATAGGATATAAGGAAGGACGGTCCACGCACCTGCTGCCATGCTGTACGCGACGATTGATACAAGCTATATGTACAAGTAGACGCGTCCACGGCCTTCGTCTTCAACCTTCAACGTACTATGTTATCACTTATCTTCTGACACTAATAAAAAGATGTGGGTCTTGATTTTCCATAATCATATATGTCATGGGCAAGACATGTGATCATACTGTGTGCTTTGAAGATATGAGTGATCTAAGATTACATGGATGATGATTACGTCATACCGATTTCAGCTACTTCAGAACACGAGGTACTCTGGACACAAGTTTAATCATTCACTGCTGAGTCAGTAATCGAGATCCAAGTTGAAACAATAAGTTAATCAGAAGTATATACGTAAAACAATCGGTTTGAAACCAACATACAAGAAAGCTGTGTAACTAACAATTAAGAAGGTTTACCTAACATATGAATTTCTGCAGAATAATTAAAATAATTGTACACAACAGAGCGAGAGATGACAGATCGTTTTCATCTTTCAAGGCAGATTAGACGTGTTTGCCTTTCTCTAAAGGTGATGTTAAAAGGTTTCTCTTACATTTTCAAAATTCTTTATCAATTTCAAACGGCAAAAGAACCAGTACACCATGCTTTTACAACGTGTTTTTCTGGGTAAAGCTCAGGAAGGCTTTTCCGCCTTACCTTTTGAGAGGAGTTCTGAATAGCATGGGGGCGGTGGTGTAGCCTAGTGGTTAAAGCGTTGGCTCGTCAGGCCGAAGACCCGGGTTCGAATCCCCACATGGGTACAATGTGTGAAGCCCATTTCTGGTGTCCCCCGCCGTGATGTTGCTGGAATATTGCTAAAAGCGGCGTAAAACCAAACTCAGTCAGTCTGAATAGCATGCTATTACGCCTTATCAATTGATTCCTGAAACTTAAAGCAAATGTTTAGGTCTGCTTAGACAAACTATGATTCTGCTTCTGTTGAGTTTCCTTGGGAGAAGGAAACATTGTTTGATAAGTGATGCACATCGCAGGAGGTCAAAGGAAATAATCATAGTTTGAGGCCGTTGGTTTCCTTGGAGGTTTATGGTAGTGGGTCAGGGGACACTTGGATACATCCTATTAAAAAGAAAGATGATCAGTTACGTTAGGCTGAATTCTCATATCACATCTGAGGGTAGAAATATAAAAAGAGTCATTCTTCTTTTAGCACTTTTGTGAATTTCAAGTCACAGCCTTGTTGCTGTTCGGCTAAAGAGGAATGGCTTTTGAGTGAGTGAGTGAGTTGGGTTTTACGCCGCTTTTAGCAATATTCCAGCAATATCACGGCGGGGAACACCAGAAATGGGCTTCACACATTATACCCATGTGGGGAATCGAACCCGGGTCTTCGGCGAGACGAGCGAACGCTTTAACCACTAGGCTATCCCACACAGCCGAATGGCTTTTGAATATCATCAATCAAGGTCTATTGTTGTGAGAGTACCTTTCGTTAGTAATGATTTTGTGTCAGCTAAAGGTGACAGCTCTATTGTTAAGCCCATTACCGTTTTGATGGAGTCATCAGATAACTCTGAGGTTGTGTTTGTTGTATAACGCCACACTCGGTCTGACAATCCAATGATAAACAACATGTGCATCGATGTACACAACTGGGATAAGATTGTGTCAACCAAGTCAGTGAGCCTGACCACCCGAACCCGTTAGTCGTCTCATGGATTGCTGAGGACCAATTCTAGCCCGGATCCGAACGGGTTGCTGGGTTAATGTTGGTTTATTAGTGCACTCTCCATTTTATGAATTTGAAGACACATTTGGTGTCTGGGTTAGTTATGGTGGAGTAGAAACTGTCCCTATCAGAGGCGTTGACTTCCTTTTGGAAATGATCTGGCAGGATATAACTTTTGACTGATCCCATTGCCTAGCACATCAGAAAATACTGAAAATCTTGAAAAGGAAATTCTAAGTGTTCCTTCATGTGTTGTTACTCGTGTTAAGGCTTAACAAATTTCTTCTGAGAATGAAACCAGTTATGATTACTACTGTTTCATCCTTTTGGTCTTTTGCACGTGATGCTCGTATTTGATAAAAAATGCATGGCGTGCACCTGTGATCTATATTCAGTCCGGTTGCATGACAACGTGTGATCTATTCAGTCCGGTTGCATGACATGAATACCTTAACTGAACCTCTCACATGTACATATAGGGCTATAAAAATCTTGTTTTGACTCATACATTATCCAAATAGTTAGACGACAGTCAAGATGAAGTACACTAAAATCAGCAGGAGAATTCCTTCTTACATATTTCCACCAAAACGAACGCATTTAAAGTGCATGTGAAATATTCAATCCCATAAAGTATATATCACAATACATTCCGTCTCGTATTCGAATTCCCTTCATATGTTAGCCATTATACAGAATATCAAAATCTAATTCGTACTTTTGAATGCATCTTATGACAGAGTCTAGTTGGAAGAGTGCGGAAGAATCCCGTGCTTGTCGCAGGGGGTGACACAATGGGTCGCCGACAACAGATCATAATGAGGACCTTTTTGTGAAGCCTCCAGCAATGTATCAACCACTTCTGATTTTGTTAATCATTAATGAGTGCATTATTATTCAGTCCTTGATCAAACGTCATACTGGTCTTTATGACAGCATTGATTTCGATCCATATCTAGAATCCTCAAATACAATATAATGTAAAATAGCTATTGCTTTTTAAACAAACTGTTTTCTTTATTGAATGATTATTTATATTAAATATTTTTATGAATATTTATCTATTTCATTGTTATGTCACAGGTGAACAGGGTGTATGACAGTATATAACAACACTGTATAACGCAGTTACAATGCCGTACGGGTGAACATTATTTTAATATCGTCCTAAAGATTTTGATCCAGCGATCTTGTAGGTTCTGCTGATGACGTTGGAACTTATTTTCTTCTTCTGTGACGGCTGTTGACCTCCAACGTGAAGCATCATTTCTCCTGGAAATAAAACAGTGTCAAATTATTGATAAAGAGAAGTATGTGTGTTATTACAATTGTGCATGTAACTGTACTTTTCAGAAGTGATAAAAATACTTTGCTCTCATCTTCAATGACTTGAAATTGTAATTAGTGATATTAAGGAGACTGTCAAATTGTCCATATGTCATCATGGTGATCAAAAAAGCACACCGTTTGGCGTCATGAAAACATGAATTCGGGAAAGTCAGAGTCCATAAAAACTGAATGTGGGGTCAATTATCAGTGCATGCCAGTTAGTATGTAGACTATCGTCATGTACATGTACAAACAAACATGACCTCACGTTCGTATCGGGGCAATGTTACCATACATATAGCATCTTTATGATCCCATTACGTTACGTTTTTTCTCTGCTTTTGTTGAACATGCATTAATTACTGGACTGTTTCTCTCTGAAGCTTCATTCCTGCATAGTCGTGTCTGGACCAGACAAACCTGTGATTGATGTTCTTAGTAACGATGACACACAATCTACGTAGTCATGGAACCTGATCACCAATCCATTCAGTCGCCATGAACATGCAAGGACATCTAATTCTTTAATATATGATAGAACAAAACATTAATATCCTACGGTGACAAAGTGCTCAGTACACTACTTACCCTCTTCCACCTCCCAGCCTTTGTTGTCCACCCACACCGCCATACTTTCGGCAGAGACGGTGAAATTAACCTTAATGTTCCCATTGCCAGGGATCGTAACTCTGTCGAACCAGGCCAGCTGTAACTTGGGAGTCGGTTGGGTGGCATTCATCCACTGTATGTAGACTTGTATAACCTGGATGAAATATACAAGACGTCACAATTGAATTCTGGAAATCCAAAATCCACAAACTCTCCGCAGTTTCTTACACAGGATTTGACCAAATTCAACGTGCAGTTATCATGAATATGTGCTAAAAATGAAAAAACATTGTTTTCGAAAATTCAAAATTGAAACTAACTCGCCCAAAGGCGAGAATGTTTACTTTCGCTCAAAATTCAAGTTTTGGAGATTGTATATAAGTGAATGTATGTTCAAAAGTAAAATGACACAAAAACCTGAACTCATTTTAACTTAATTCGGCTTAATAGTAACTCAGAGCACAAAGCTGCCATTCCTTTATATTGCAAATATACTCTCCCAATAAAGAAACGCATCATGAAAATAGCAATTTCATGTAGCAGTGAATTAAAACGTGATTCATTTTACAAAAGGTTTTGCTCTGTTTATGAGTCCTATGGTGTTTAAGTTTTGAAACATCACAACAAAACGCACCATCCGTACAATACCCGTATTTAACAGCATGATTTTCAATTTCGGCGTGTAGTGTCACAGAATACACACTTCACCTGCAATGCACGTGAAAGTTGGGGATCAGATAGTCTCAATGATGGGTATAAAAGGTTGATCGCTGTCTGTCGATTATTCACTGTATTTGGAATATTGTTGACGAACGCAAAATGCCACATCTTAGTGAAGCCAACCATCATATCGCCATTGGTTTGCTTGAAGCTGGCCAGTCTCAACGTGCAGTTGCCCGACGCATGAATGTTCACCAAAGCACCATTTCACGGCTCTGGGAGAGATATCGCCGGCAGAATTCGGTAGCAGATGCCCCTCGTAGTGGGTGACTTCGAGCGACCACTGCGGCGCAGGATCGCTACATCCGGGTAGATCACCTGCGTCATCGAACAGCTACGGCGACCAGTACCGCTCGACAAATACCCGGATTGAGGAGGCTTTCTGCACAGACCGTCAGGAACAGGTTGAGAGAGGCTGGTTTACGTGCCAGAAGACCTTATTTTGGCCCTGTGCTTCGACAACAACATCGTCGACATCGAGTTCAATGGTGCACCAACGTTCAGGCCTGGAACCTACCGCATTGGCGTAGAATCTGGTTCAGTGATGAATCACGATTTCTATTGGAACGACGCGATGGAAGAATGCGGGTGTACAGACGTCGACTTGAACGTTTCGCCGACGCTTGCGTTTCCAAGGTGGACAGATTTGGCCGGGACAGTGTTATGATGTGGGGAGCGATCACTTGCCGTAGGAGAAGTGATTTGGTGATGATCCAGGGCAACCTGACAGCTCAG